CCAACTCAAAATTTTGAGATGAAATTTTTTGTTGTAGTTCACAAGATTTGAACCTCGCAACTCTTACTGAGAGGAAGAATACCTTTGCTACTAAGGCCCTATTTTGTTAAAAATTAACTTTATTAGAAAAGTATCGTATAGAAAAGTTGGTAAATTTTTTTCAACGAAGTTTTGTTGAAATTTGTAAGGTTATCAACTTTTCTATGTTTGGTAAAAATAAAAAATAAAAAAAATTGTCAAGTGAGTTTCACATAAAAAAAGCCAAGGAAAATTGTTTTTTTCTTTCAAAAAGTGTACAAAGAAAAACCTATTGATTAAAAATTGTATTAAAGAAAATAAATATTAAAAATATCACTTTTAACCTTCTTTTGTCATAATGTTATGGTGCAAAAATATGTAAATAACTCTAAAAAATCCAAGTAAAGGTGAAAGTTGGGAGAAATTTTTCTCTCCGAGGGTGAGTTTGGTTTCCAATGTCCTTATAAAGCGAAATCCAGGAAGCCAACATTAAAATTGTTGGCTTGGGGTCAAAATTCCATACAAAATTCAAGATAGGTTATAGTTGGTTATAACAATTTATAACAACCTATAATTGATTGAAATGAAAAATAGTCAAATTGTATTATAGTCAGCTATATTGCCAGGAATCCAATTCCAGGTAAATAATTCGGAATCTTTTTGAGAAACTTGTAAATTTTTTCTTTTATAATCGGCTATATTTAGTTATAGTAAGCTATAATGCATTTTGGATGCATCATAGACTTCGTATCCAGAAACATTTTTCCCCAAGCCAAGCCAAGTCCAGATATGTGCAGCTTCCCAGAAAATATTTTCCTGAGAACTAGGAAACCAAACGCACCCAAAACATGGCAAAAACCCATGCTACGCTCCTTATCTTATCAACTTTGAGGACCCCTCATCTCTTAAAGTAAGGATATTTCCCCCCTCTACTTTTCCAGTTTAGTAGACAAGGCAAAACTTGACGTCCCAAGGTCATGTGCAGCACTAGAGCATCATTTGTCCTTTGTTACCTATGCCAACGCCACATGAGCAACCATTTTATACGTTGGTATTGCCAATTAGGGAAGCAAAAACTCATCCTTTTCCTCGCTTAATCAACCTTTAGGACTTTTGCTTCTTATTTTAAAATAAATATGGATTTTTTTACCTTTCATTTTATCATCTTATCAATTTGTGCAAATAAGACAAAATTTAACATTCACTGATCACATGCTAATATATATGAGCATTAGAGCTTGATCACAAAAGAACATGTCAACACCACATGAGATCATTTTACACACTAATGATGTCAACAACTTGGGCCTACTCATCCGTTTTTCGTGCGAGCCTACCGCACTCTCAAATTTTTTAACAAAAAAACAATACGATGTAATGGGATTCATTATATTTAAATAAATTATATTATTTTAAAATATTATTAAAATTTTTAATTAATTTTATTATTAAATAATAAATTATTTTTATACTAATTAATTTCAATTAAATAAATTAATTTCTCATTCCCCCTCCCCACTCCAATAATCCTCACCTCCGTCCTCCATTCTCCAACGGCCATACTCCATCAATTTATTTAATTCAGAGAAAAAGAGATATAATTAGTTGCATAAAATTTTGTTTATTGTCACTTAAGTGATATAATAGATACTTCTCAAAAAAAAAAAGAAAAAAAGTTGATATAATAGATAAATTTAGCATTGTGGAGATTCAAACCCCATCTTTCTTTAGTAAAAGGCGAAAGAATAGTTCGCTCTCTATGCTCAACACACGGCTCCGTCAAACCCCATCTTTCTTAGAATAGGAAAAGGTACCATAACAACTAGGCCAACAGAAACACTAGCGTTTTGCGTGGAAATATATTTATTATATCAGAAAGTATTCGTTTGTTGGAAAGAAAAACAATCCAAATTACGTAGCTCCAAAAAAGTTTTATTAAAAACGATTAGAATAATTAATTTTTAATTAAAAAATAACAGTTTTTCAACTTTTCTATAGTGCCTGGTCGAATGATATAGTCTTGAAATTTTTTTTTAAATTTTTTAAAAGTTTGGCAATAAATACTAATCTCTTATTATATATAATAAGTAATTGTTTTTTTACCTGTGTGTTGCACGGATTGTTTTTCCATTCTTTATATTAGAGCTAGCTAGCCTTTTATATTATTTTTTATCAACTTCTAAATTTTATAATAATTTTTTAATTAAAATATTCTAATTAAGTGATTGTGGCTGAATTTGAAACTGTTTTTGATAATTGACAATAATAGTTTTTTCCAAAAAGTTGTTAAGAGCCGCATCAAAAGGAAAGAATATTAAGAGAAGTCAAAAAAACATTCAATATTAATCTTTATCTCATAATCCAAATAAATTCTTTTTTTTTTCCTATTATCTCATTTCTTTTTATTAAAAAAATTAAAGTTAAATAAGAATATAATTAGATTCCCTCAAATCTTGCATTTTGATTGCCCAGAAATTATAATCAAATGATAAATAAAACTAAATAACACTCTTATTAATCTGTTTTTTTAGTTATTTTAGCCTATTCATTATATATGATTTTATTTTTTTATTTTATATCAATATTATATCATTTTCTTTTGTATACATTTTTATAATAAAGTTATTTTAAAAAATACAAATTATATTTGTTAATTAGATTGGAAGACAAAAGTATTAAAGCTTTTTGTATTATGTGTTAGAAAATATGTTTTTGAATCTATGTATTACACAAAAATATGTTTTTTCACTTTAAGATAATTTTGTATTTTTACATCCCAAATTCACTTTTTGTGTGGTTCAATTTGAAAATCCAAACTCCCATATATTGTAAATTTGAGTTTCGAAACTCTTTCAATTGATCAAAATTTGAGACTATTTCGATTTTATAACATTAAATCTTGTCATTTTTGTTTTGTTTTTATTATTTTTCCAATTTTTTAGTGACTCATCTTAAGCCATGAATGTTTTTAGTTGTAATAATCCTTATTATTTGACTACAATTTGAAATCTTATTTATTTATTTAAATTTGAGCTATGCAATAGATTCAACTTTTTTGTCAGGATAATTATACATACACTCAAACAATCAATACTCATCTCAACAGTCCAAGGCTAAAATGAGGAGGGGTAAATTTGTAATTTTACTGTTCATAAGTCTTGGGTGTTGAGATGGGTGTTAATGGTTTGGGTGTATGTATAATTGTCCTTTTTGTCATTCATTTACTGGATTACATTATATTACTTAAGTTATTGGTTTTGAAGTCCCATTTAGATTAGCCATATTAGTTTTATTTTCATTCCTTTTTTCTTGTAAATGGGTTAAACATTAATTGGTACATATTTTGATTGAAAACACTACACTACACAACACGCTTATTAAAAAATATTGCTTTTCCTTTTGGTATGAAGTTAAATGCAATAAACTTAAAGATGAAGCAATGCATACAAGATGCAAAAAAAAAAGCTAAATCTGTTGTATTTATATTATATTTTAATAGTTAAATCACGATAAATATTAGAAAGTGTGTTAAATTGAATATTTACTAAGTATTTTCCAAATGAATTCTATGTTACTGGTGGTTGATATTGTAATAAAGCAATAGTTGTCATATGTATCATATTTTTTTATTGAGTTTTGATTACAAACCATGATATAATAATTATAATTAAGATTACATTTTTCATTAAGGGATTTTTGTACATTCAAACATTTTACCTTTCATACTTGCTTGCACTTTTGTTTTTGAGTTGAACAATAATAGCAATATTAAGTAATAATAATAATTATTATTATTATATATTTAATATTTTAATTCTCTTGAATCTTTTACATATTACCTCATACATTAATATAGAGATACCCATATTCAAATTGTTAGTAAATTGTTTTAGTTTTTCCTTTATCCTTATTTTTAAAATTAATGTTGACATAATATAATAATTATTCTTTATATATTATATTATCAATTATATGCCTCTTAATATTTCATTATTTTCATATCAACTATAATACAATAATTTTAATTAAGGTCACATTTTTATTATTTAAATGAATCATAATTGAATTTTCATATATTCATGACCTTTGCTTTTGATGCTCTCTTATATCCATTTTCCTTTAAGTCATCAACATAAAAATTTTTTATATATAAGAAAGATAAAAAGAAAAGTCTCATAACCTTAAAAACCAATAAAAATAAATTTTGGTTATATAGGGGTCTTCAATATGGCACACATAATTACTATACATTATAATTCTATAATTTGTTCTCATTCTTCATAAATACCAGGTTTCTATTCCTCTTCCTTTGGTTTAGTGCATTATATATAACTAAAAATAATAATAATAAAATAATTATTAAGAAGAAGGTAAGAAATTAAAGAAAATAAAATGATTGAAATAAATTATTAATCACATTTGTTATATTTTTATATAAATTTTTTTTTGATCAGCAAAACAAATGATCTATATTAATCAGGAGTATGAGAAATACCCCAAAATGGAATTACAACTATCAAGTAAAAAGTGCAAATGAAAACACAGGAAAACACACTTGCAGCCTATCACCAGCCTCTAGAAGTTGACGATTTAGCACTAGAAGCAGCTACACTTACGTACAAATAAACTCATCCCCCATCTTGCTGCCGCATTTGATATATTCTCCGGTTGCTACGATACTGCAAAATTGCTCCCCTGCACTCCATTGGACTTGAGACCCATTCTTGGTATGAAAAAACACTCCCTTTTTCTTTATTTTTAAGCCATAAAAATGATTTATGTTGTATATACTCCAAAACTAACTCCTCAGACAGCAACTTTGTTCCAAATGCCTGCATATTCCTCCGGAACCAAATAAACCAAGCAACAATCAGAAAAATGAAAGCCCCTAAATCCGCCCAATAACCCCCACTAATACCCTGCATCACGAACTCTGCCAATCCAAAGATGTCTTTCGACAAAACACCCTGTAATCCCCACCATCTCAAAACCTTCATCCACACTAACCATGCTCCTTTACACTCACAAAAAATATGATTCACCTGATCCACTCCCTCCCCACATAAACCACAACTCACATCCCCTCCCAGCAATGCAATCCCTCTCTTAAATAGATTATCCTTCGTTGCCAACCTATCCAAAAATAACCGCCACCCAAAAACACTCACTTTAGACGGTGCTAACTTACACCAGACGATTCTCACCCATTTCTCAGCCAAAAGATCATCCTTAGGAGCTAAAAAACCATATGCATCCTTAACAGAATAAACACCATCAGTACTATGTGCCCATCTCCATGAATCATCTTTATTCTCCTTTACCTTGATCCTATTAATAATCCCCCTAAGCCTTTCTTCCTCCTCACCAACCCTCCCGGAACAGCTTCGTCGCCATCTACAATCCCATAATATATATTCTTTTTAATTTTATAATAAATTTATTCTTTATAATTAAAAAAGGACAAAATTAGTGTTTAATTAATTCTTGGGGTAGCAATTTATATTATAGATAGATATAGATAAATTGCTAATCATAAAATTTTTTGGCATTTTAATCTTTTTGTAGGTTCTATTGATTGTTAATCCAATAATCAAATAATTTTTGCCTTCTAGTCTTATTATCATTTTTTTCAATCCTTTATTAATCAAATTCATAATGCTCAAAAACGAAATGGGAAAAATATCAACTATTATTTTAATAAAAAAAACTAAACTATCGTCATTCTTAAAATGCAAAATCTAGATGAGGTATTATAAAATAAGGGAAAGTATTTGACATTTCTTTTTTTTTTTTTTACATAAATCTTAACCAACTCCTTATTTTATAATTACTGGGCTTGTAAAATTTTGTTTTATGGTTTTTATTTCTTATCCCTCTTCTCATTTTCGATTTCTTGTCATTTTTCTTAGTTGTTATTTTATTCCTTAACTTATATTATAAACTATATATTTTGATATGTTAATATAAGTGTTAAAATCAAAGTTATAAAAAGAAAGTTATTTGAATGATATTTTAGTGCAATTGAATCCAAATTCCTAAATATATGTGACAGTAATATTAAAAGTATATTCGATTTTAGAAGGAATATAAAGTAGAATTTATATTTAAAAGAGTCAAAAAGTTAACAATAGCATACTATAAATAAAATATGAAACATTATCTTCTTAAAAAGAAAAAAGAAAAAATAAACAATAATAAAGAAATGCAATATTTGATATGACTTGATTTTCTATTCAATTTAAGCATTTTTTTGTTCAGTTTAGTATATGAATAAACACTATTATTGTTTTTATTAACTCTCAACTCATGAGTAGAGTTCTCTCCTTAACACAAAAATGAAAAAAAAAATTCAAAACATTAATAATCTAAAAAGAAATGTGTAATATCCCAAAATTTTGGGGATATTTTAGCATTAAATAAGGGACTTATTTGAGGAAAAATATTGTTTTGGGGGTTAATCATAAAATTTTAAAAAGTTGAGGGGCTAAAAAGAAAGGAAATTAGGATAAGGATCAGCTGATATTTTCATTCCTTTTCTTCCCAGCCATACACGTTTCTGCTCTGCTCTTCTTCTTTGTGCAGCCCGACAAACCCCCCCCAAAGCCACCGACTTCCTCTTCCTTTGAAAACCGAAAAAGGGGCTTGAAATTCTCCTTCTTTCTTGTTCAATCACAAGATTTGGGGCTTAGAATCTTCCCTCTCAACCCAGAAATCCCGGATCTGTTCTGCTCTTCCTTCCCCTGCCGCGAGCTGCTCTTGTCGGTGGAGAGCTTCTCGGTTTTCTGGTAAGGGAACGACTAGGAATCATCCCTTTAGCCTTAATTCGAGTTGGGTTACTCTAATTGTGTTGTGGGTTCTTGAATTTTGAGGTTTGCCGTGAGTTCCTCCATTTCTCTCCCCGTCGGCTTCCTTCCCAGCCGG